AATAATATAATACATGTAATACATATTAAAAACAAAATGTATCCCGGAAATAGCTGCTGCCCTATGTACCTTAGGGACAAGGTCTGTCTCGGGTACATAGAAGTACATACCCCATAAAGTGGTGAAGAGATGGGATAATAATAATAATAATAATAATAAAAAGGCGCTTTCATAAAATAAAATAATATAATACATGTAATACATATTAAAAACAAAATGTATCCCGGAAATAGCTGCTGCCCTATGTACCTTAGGGACAAGGTCTGTCTCGGGTACATGGAAGTACATACCCCATAAAGTGATGAAGAGATGGGGTAATAATAATAATAATAATAATGCTTTCATGCTTTCATGCGATTTCATATCTAATAGAATGTTAATATACTAAAAATGGCAGGTTGTTAGTATATTAAAGTCTATCTTAAAATGACGTAAAATATGTCTTAACATGGCATACTGTGTTAAATTGTAATAAAGCAGTGAAAGTTCAACTGAGAAAATAGTCCAAAATTTGTATTATTCACGGAATATTAGGATTATCAACAGCATGGGATGGGCAGGGCAAAAATCTCGCAAGGGAGATGTGAGAAATATTGGCTGGAGAACTTGAAGGGAATGCTTAGTCGTAGGTGCGAGGGTAATATCAGGATGGATGCTGAGGGAACAATGTAGAAATATTAACTGGACTTATCTGGTTCGGGATGATCACCATCGGTGGTCTACCATGCGTGGGTTTAAAATTAGTTAGAATCGATCAGTTTGATCTGTCCCAACGGGCTGACAACGTGCTCAAAGTCTCAGTCAGGTGTCTGGTTGAAAGTTTTTTAAATACTGTCGCAGGCAAAGGCTCCTATGTACTGCAAGCGCTTTGAAGCAAGTTGTCTGGATTATTGATTAGTTGGAATTTAGCATACTTAGTGAATCACAGGAACAGTTAATTACGTTCTCATTCAGTCGGTGACTTAATTATTTGTTCATTTACTTCAGTGTGAAGTAGTCAGACAACATGTTACAATATTCATTTGAGCCCAAAGTTAAAATTTGTTCTGACTCTTCAGTACCCTGACGGACGTACTCTGAATGGCCACGATTTTCGCCGTAATATGGACACAGCGTGGGATCTGGAAGGACAATACGCGACAGACATATTCACAGACGAGGCTCTCAGAATCATCCAGGAACATGATGACAGCAGGCCGCTGTTTCTGTACCTGAGCCATCTTGCAGTGCATTCTGGCAATTCTGGAAAACTTGTGGAGGCGCCCCAGGAATTTATTAACAAATTCCGACACATCCCAGAACCCAACAGACGAACTTATGCTGGTAAGTGAACAGAAGTCTAATTTCATTAGTTAATGCTTTGTTGGTTTGTAGGCTATTAAACGATGCTGTGACAACTACATAAGCTATTTAGCGCCATTACTAGAGTTCTGATTTCAAAGATGTATTTGTCTCGTTTCTTTTTCTTTCTTTCTTTCTTTCTTTCCTGCTTTCTTTGTGACGGAATTTTCGTTTCTGCAATAAACGTTTAGAGGGTGAACGTGACATATCACATAGAATCAACCAGTGTAATTGTTTTTAAGTCTATATTTTACATTTTATTTTTACCCTTTTTCCTAAATCCACATTTTATTGAGAAAGTTTGTTTTCTATAATACGAAATGAAAATTATATTTCATACAAATACGTTATTTAATGTAACTTGGTAATATGGCATACACTTAACTGCACGTGTAATAACACTGAGTTATCTGTTTTAGCCATATTTTCCATTCATCAATAGTGATATATTTTTAGATCTGAAAATGACTCTTAGTGTCGAAAACCTGATTCAAAACCATACACAAAAATAACGTATTTTAATGAACAGACAGACGTTTCAGACCCGAGAAGTATAATACACATATCAATGACGATTAAAGAAAAAAAGCCTAACTGACTTTTCAGTAGTAACTGGGGAAACCTATGGAAAGAATGAGGTTCAGCTGGAGAGGCGGTTAAGAGGGAGTCTACCCACAACATGCAATGGACAAGACACTCGCACTTTCACGCTTTCTC